TTTTCGAAAAACCCAAAAACCACCTCCACCAACCGCCTAAAAATACATCCACTGGAACCGGACTGGAACATCAATGGAAAAGCACCCAAACTGACCCGTACTGACACTGACTCGTACCGACACTGACCCGTACCGACACTGACCCGTACCGACACTGACTCGTACCGACACTGACTCGTACCGACACTGACCCGTACCGACACTGACCCGTACCGACACTGACTCGTACCGACACTGACCCATACTGACACTAAGTGGCACTAGTAAAGAAATCATATAAGCTTCCGTTAATGAGGTTCGTTTGTGTTTGTTTCCCCAACAGGTAACCAGGTTGGTACCCCTCCAGTTGGACCTCCGGGTAGTCTCCTAGGTTTACCTTTACCTAATCCTTCAGGTGGCCCTCCAGTAGGTCTGCCAGGTGGTCCTCTGATTGGGCCTCCTGGTGGTCCTATGGTAGGTCCTCCTGGTGGTCCTATGGTTGGTCCTCCTGGTGGTCCTATGGTAGGTCCTCCTGGTGGTCCTCCGATTGGTCTTCCAGGTGGTCCTCCAAGTGGACATCCCAGAAACATCCAACCTCCTGCTGGTCTCCTGGGTGCACGGCCTGGAATAATGCCACTCCAGCGCCCCTCTGGTCCACAAGCACCACAACACATGCAACGTTTCCCTCCTCCCCATGGGCCAAGACTGCCTCACTCCAGCATGCCCCCTAATACTCCACAGATGATACCCAGGGGGCCACACCCCCAGATAATGCACCACGAGCCCCCTACATCTAAAGGAGGTTTTGGTATTCCCCCACCACACAATATGAGGGCTCCTTTCCCTCGTGGGCAAGGACCTCCCCCTCAAACTAACCCGACTTCTCCATTTATCAGACCAGGGGGACCCAGAGGCTTAGAAGGACCAGAAGAAATGGATGACAGGCCATTTAGAGGAGACAGGCCTGGATTCAGAGATCGAGAGCAGGAGCGGGACCGAGACTGGGATCGAGACAGGGACAGGGGTTTTGGAGGGGGTAGACGCTCTTTTGGTGATGGAGGGAGGGGAGCTGGTGACAAAATGGATGGGAGAGACCGACATGGGGGTTGGCAGGAAGATGGAGGAAATCACCGTGGGGGAGGATGGGAGCGAGACAGAGATCGGGAGAGAGACCGGGACCGCGATCGGGACAGAAATAGACGGGACTGGAGAGAGAGGCGAGGCAGCCCTGACAGGGACAGAGAACGGGGGCGTGGTGATGATGGGGAGAGAGATCGTGGAAGGGCAGAGGGAGGAGAAAGAAACAGGGGAGAAGGGACAAATGTGGACAAAGGCAAAGGACCTGAAACTAAAGGGGACAAGCCCAGGCGGTCAGAACGACGAGAGAGGACCTCACGGTGGGACAAGGACGATCGATTGGCCGAACTGGAAAACATGGACAAATTTCGSAGCTTCAACAGCTTGGAGCAATCTTCTGTGAAAGCTGTGCTTACCATGGATACCAGTAAAGACCCAGATGGGAAAGCCTCTGAAAAGAAGGAACAATCTAAACATTTAGCTTCACCTGCAGAGGTCACTACAACAGAAAAACCTGTGCCCTCTGAGTCTCCACAGTCAGCTCCAAGTGAGCCCACAGAAACAAAAAAAGAATCATCATCATAGGCCGACAGCCTGTGACTCTGTGAAGAACTGAAAGATACTAAAGGTTTCGTCCACTGTTCTAGTCTCAGTTGTTGGCAGATGAAATTCAACCTAGTCACTGTTTGTCAGATGGTAAATGACAGTTTCTGGGCTGTAGTATATTTCTTTAACACAGGCATCTCCTGATATTTTCTTCCTTTTTTATTGTTTTATTTTATTGCATTGTTTGTGTACACACAGGTAAAGTAATACTACCACAATGGCCCACATTTGTTTTTAACTTCCTGTGCTTATTTATGAATTGGCAAGAAAATTATTTTATAAATAATTATTTTTAATTTGCCAAAAATATCTGTCAGACACTGATTACTGTCACAAACAAGCTCCATTATTTTTCCTGGTCATGTTGCGTGTTTAAAGTCAGTTTTTAATTTCATTCTAAAAATTCAAGAMGACTTCAAATAAATCAAACACATGCATGGAAATAATGAAAGTGAATTTAAAACGTATAGTATGCTGCAATTACAACTGCTTTTGAGCATATATTGATTTATTTTTTTCCTTTGAAGTTTTGCCCCTTTTTCTCTTAATATTGCAGTACTACAAAGRTGTTACCAACTTTCTCTGATAAACATTTCTAAAACATTGTTGGAGTCAGTCATTTAAATTTAATCAGACATGCATTTAATTTTCTCCAATATCGACTATGAGAGGCTTTATACTTAATCCATTTTCAATTTCATACAATTAAGAATAAAAGTAACAAGAAGGCGTGCGAAACTTCTGACATTCAGAAATTTAAAAAAATATATAACAATGTAAGCTTAAAGTAATTGATGCTTACATGTGCTTCAGTTAAAACAAATATATTTTTTTGCAACCACCTTACTCTTTCTACTGTTGGCAACACTTATTCAAAAACGCAAAAAAAAAAAAAGCTTTTATTTCAAGAAACATTCTCAAATTTACTTTCAGTATATTGGCTGACAATTTCTCAGTAATACATAAAATTTAAGTTGAGTTCCACTGCAATTTGTTAAATGTTAAGAATGTAGTTTAAGTATATATA